GTGTTAACGATATAACATAACATTGTCAATCAACACATACTGTCTTTGATAAGCTTATATAGCTTATTCCTTTTATAACGTCATTGTTAATGAGTACACACTGTCTTGTGTTAACGATATAACATACAATTGTCAGTCAACACATACTGTCTTTGATCAGCGTATATAGCTAATTCCTGTTGTAACGTCATTGTTAATCAGTACACACTGCCTTGTGTTAACGAAATAACAAACAATTGTCAGTCAACACATACTGTCTTTGATAAGCTTATATACATGTAGCTAATTCCTGTTGTAAAGTAATTGTTAATCAGTACAAACTGTAATGTATTAACATTATAAAATATCATCGGAAATTGATATCAAAGTTTTACTTTCTACACAAACAATGTACGTATTAAACTTGTTGCAATGTTTTACCACCGACGGGTCCATTTGTCAAGCTATGACTGAGTGAGCTATTTGTATTTTATAACAGTACAACGATGTGACGAAATTGTATATTTGTATGTCACCTGACCCGGGACGTTTCGCCTATCGATAGGGAGCGTATACACAATGCATTAAATCGGTTACAGTTAGGGTGTAAATTTAACCCCTCCCCTGTTATGCCAGTATCAGGTCAAACAAATGGCTCAGACAGTGTCCCCCCCGTCTCTGTTCATGTTTTGAGTTTTACTTATTCTGATTGCCTCTTTGAATTGTCACGTTTTTGTGTGTTGTTCCCATTTAACTATCTTGGCATTTTCCCAATCGATGATGGGATTTTGGGTGTAAGCGTGATCTGGTAATACCGATTTATTGTACTGGGTGGCGAATGTTTATATAGGACAAACTGGAAGGAAATTTGGTACACGTCTGAATGAACATCAAAAGGACGTAGAGTAAATGAGCAACATCAAATTAACCAGATCCACACGCAAAGCATAAAGATACCAAAATAATCGATTATCAACACAGTAGGCAACTAACATGACGCTTTGAATATATTTTTTTGTTTTATTTGTAAAGTTAAACTAGGCGTAAGTAGCTTTTAATCAATTGTTCAATATCCCTTTAATATTACATGCATGATTTGTATTGCTTCTTTGATTTGTCTCGTTTTTGTGGGTTGTGCTCTTTCAACTATCTTTGCATTGTCCTAATCAAAGATGTGATTTTGGGCCTTAGCGTGATCTGTTGATGCCGATTTATTTTACGGGGTTAACTGGATGTATTATAGAGGAAATTTGGTACACGTCTGAAAAAACATTATTAGGACGTAGAGAAAATGAGTAACATCACATTGTCATTTTCCACACGCAAAACATAAAGATACCAAAATAATATATTATCAACACAGTAGGAAACTAACATGGCGTTTTGAATAGAAATTTTGTTTATTCTTCAAATTAAACTAGGCATAACTAGTATTTGTATCAATTCAATATTAGTCCTATGATATTTCATCCATGATCCACTTTAACGTGACAGTTTAACTTACAAGTACTTTAAATATTCTGATCGTTGAAGTGATAGTTGACAGCGACAAAGCTTTGTCAACCAACAAAGTGAAAGATAAATAATAAACAGATTATTTCTATGCTAATAGAATATTTTGGCCGAGAAGTGAGGTATATAATTGGTCAATAAATGGTCAGTACCATTTAGAAGTAGAAATAATAAGTACTACCTTCGTTAGAACAAAGAAGAGCCTTGATTTTATTATATAATCTCACGTTTCGGTGACTGATTATATGGATTGATACATTCGGGTGATTGACGTGTATGACACGGATGCACAGTACAGTCACAAGTGTTAGAGTTACACAACTCAGAACAAATAGACACAAACATCGTGGGTTTTTTTCATGTTTGATGTTCCACTCTGTAACAAACTTCTTCCTGGTCGTCAGACTTAAACTCAGAACAATTTCTGTCACAGTGTTGAATACAGGATAAATGTTTCTCAATAGTTAATAGGTTTCTTGACGTAGTATTGAGGTTGCGAAAATGTTTCTAGTAATACATAAATAGGGGGAAAGTTAACATTTAACCAATTTGAGTTTTTACCATTGAGACAACTCTCTGCTTTCGATCGGAAAGATAATTTGCCAACCACAGTAATAGCGAATTTCGAATCCCATAATCTACAAAGAAGGCCTTTATGCCAAACACGATCGAAAGCTTTACTAATATCACAAAAGACCATACGTATTTCCTTACCATTGTCTAAGGCTAAATATATATCATGAATGATCGCAAGAAGTTGATTTGTTGGTGAGTCACAGTGCCTAAAACCAGATTGATGAGGGGATAGGAGAGAGTGAGTGTGCAAAAAATTGTAGACATATTTGAAGACACATGTTTCCATTAATTTACCAACAATCGATAGCAGTGATACACGTATATGTCTGTAATTAGTTAATATAGACTTGTTATCTTTTTTATGCACAGGGATGACGTTAGCAAACTCCATACAGATGAGAATACCCCAGATCTAATTGACCTGTTAAAGAGATTGCTTAAGGGGACACATATGATATTAACTGATTCTTTAAGAAGACAAGGATTTACCAGGTCAGTACCAATGGCCTTAGAACAGTCAGTGGTAAGAATAGCATCTCTGACATCATTAGCTGTGATATTAATATCAGATAAGGAATTATTACATTCGTCGTTAATGTTAGGGAGATTTACATTGGAGTCATCAACTGTAGACTGGGCACAAAAGAAGTCATTAAACAAGCAAGCTTACTCAAAGTCATCTGAGACAGCGCTATTATTATGAAGCAATGGTGGTATACAAAATTTACGAAGTTTGCGAAGTTCGATACATAAATTTGAAAAATATGTTAATTTGGCCTGCTTGATTGTTACGAAGTCGACGAAACTTTGCCCAGTGAGCTACAGTAAGGGTACGCTTGGGTTTGTTATGAGCGCTTACGTTTACGAAATAATCTCCTTATTTCGTTTGATAGCCAAGGGGGTTCATTAGATTTGATGGTTATTTTTTTATTCGGAATACAAGATTTAGCAATAGTAAGTAAAATATCTAAGAAATTTTTGACAGCATCATTAATATCATCAGAATCACTCAATAAATTCCAGTTAACTGAGCTTAGTTTTTCCCTAAATAAATCGTAATTTCCTAGTTCAAAAAGCCAAACGTTTCTCTTAAACACCTACTGCACTGGCTTTGAAATATTAAAAGAACAGCAAATTGGACAATGATATCAATGTATCTTGGTCAAGAACATTACTTTATCGTAGTTTTTTTCTATTGTTACTATTGTAAGATGAACGTAACACACACACACACACACACACACACACACACACAGAGGTAATTGATTCTTTAACTGATTTTGGAATAGATACGATTTGCGAAAAATGTATCTTGCATCAGTAAGCCCCCTTTTTTTGTAACAAACGTATACTTGTATTAAATCTAAATATCAAAATCATGAACTTTTCTTATGATACTAGTTTTGCGCACTTAGTTTTATTTTACAAACAAACAGATATGTCGTCTTTGATATTGCTGCTTTCTTAAACATGGAAAGCAACATTTGTCAATATGATGCAAGTGAGTACGGAAGCGGATTATGGCCATGTAGAAATAAAATCATGTTTTGTGGTTATTTCTCGAAATGTCGAATTATTATCTCGAAATTTAAAGTAATAATCTCGAAATTTCGAGCTATTATCACAAAAAAACGAATTGTATTTGTTTTTCTTCATGGCTCTAAAGCTCTTCCGTAGGTGAGTGCTACTATAACCTATCTTGTATTTAATATGTATAAATAAAAGTCACATCCATCAGTAAATGATTGTTAATGTCTATATGTAAACAGATACTAAGTTGTTTTTTCTTCCTTAGTGACATATATGTTTTTATCAGTTAGATCACAATACAAAATTGATGCATAACGTCATGTTTCTTTATAAGGAATTGGGGAAAATAAATGTTCACAGAGACTTTCATATCTAAAATTTAAAAGGATATTTATATTTTTTAATTCTAATTATTCGAAATTATCTTCATGTATCTATAATGAAATAAATCATTATCCTTTTTAAACACAAAACACATATAAGGATATTTCGACAGACTACTTAAGGAACACCTTAACCAAAAAGAGCACTGTTGTCTTGTGTTTCTTACAATAAGAGCGTTGCTATTTTTAGATCACCTATATATTCCCTATATAAACAGTGGCGAATGAAGATTTTGTACTCGTCTTCAGAAAGGACGAAAGGCTGTAATAGCGTACGTAGAAACCGCCAAAGTGAAGGATTTTACAAGTATTGGTAGCCTACACCACTGGGCATCATACCCTCATTTAAACGATATACGTGTTTGAAATAGTTACATTTGACATGTAAAGATCGCGATTATTGAATTTCAAACTCTTTCTTGTTAACTACAAACGTCTGTCCTAGACGGAATATTTGAAGTTTGCCCTTCTTTGTCCTGTTTTAGTGTCCCCCTCTCCTTTCTACTAGGAGATGTCCAAATGGTTTAATTTGTGTTTAATATAATGTTTTAGGACTCGAAGTTCATTACAAGCCGAAAAGTTTAAAAGGCAATCGGTATGTTAAACTGTATAACTAAGAGGATGACAAAAGATGATAGCATCTCATGCATATTAAATTGTACCCTTATATCCTAAAGGGCAACATCATTAACAACCACAAAGGCAATTAATATATTAGCATCAAAGTAGCCATTTATCAGCGTTTTTCTTTGTTGTGTCCCCTATCGACCCATTTATCACTTCCTTCATTTTATCACAATATAAATGTAGGATATTCTAAAGATCGAAGGTGTTGATTGCAAGTGCCACAAAACAGCGCTAGATTAACAACAACTCATTACCCCCTTTCTGTTGGTTCTTTGTTCTTTTAAACAAAATCTTAAATTAATATTTAAATCGTAAACCACTCTTATCTGAAGTGACTTTAATTTGTATTTTTAATACATTGAATATGGTGATATATAAATATAAACGACTTACTGTCATCCATCCAAACCGGATTTCGTGTTCCACATTTTCCGGAGCCTGGAGCCGTTTGAGGTATGGTCCCGCCAGCACCCGACACCGATCTATACCAGCCCTCACTTATTAGCAGATCATGTTCATAAACAGTCCCAGCGGAGATCGCGGTGGACCGCCAGGGATCGTCCAGTAACTCGTGGTTATGCACCAAGCAAGGGTCATCGTCTTGGCCTGAAACCATTCACAATGGATAAAACACGTTAACCTTCAATTTAAATGAAAGTGTCTTAACTTTTTAATAAATTCTTTGTACCTGTTTATTTGCATTTGTTTAGAATTATTATATTTGGGTCTCATAGGTTATAATAATGGTACAGGTCATAATAGAAATGTAGAAATGTGTGGGATATATAAATAGTTGAATTTAGGCCAATTATTAAAATGATTTGTCCTTTATTTTAAAACTAACAAGCTTAAATATTCATACGGGTTTTGATTCTGAATAAAAACAGAAAACAATTAAAAAAATGAACACGTCTTGATTCTTCTATCAAAACAATGGTAGTTATTTCACCATTTCACTGATACTCACCATCTACTATAGCAGACAGTAGCCATAGAGCTAACCAACAGCGAAAGTACATCTCTGTTCCTGATTTCAGTTGGACTCTGACAGATTGTGTATTGCTTGAGGTGTATACATCTGATCGCTGACGTAATAGTATTGGTTAAACAATTTGTCAAAACTTCCTGGTACAGTGTGTCAGGGCATACATGTTTCATGTTATTTTTAACTTGATAACTTTGTAATTAAACTCTTTACAATTGCTAGGACACTTTTAAAAATAAACTTAGAGGGCCCTCTTAAAGAAAGTGATACAGCTGGATTAGTTTGTTATCATAGTGGCATGACCGTACATTAGTAAAGCTAGATCGTGAGGCGGTCGTATTTCAGTAGTAGAGTATTGAAAGTGGGACACCCGTGTTAGTAGAGGCAAGATGATGGATGGACCTTGTTAGTAGTGATGGATGTTTTTTTCGCCGTAGAAATAGTTGCTTGACAATGGGACGACCACAACATTAGAAATTATGTAGACGTTATAAGTTGTAAGGCGACATTATAAAAAGTGAATAGGTAGTTAGGCGACGTTATAAGAAGTGACTGGGTAGTTAGGCGGCGCTATAAGTAGAGACTGTGTAGTAAGGCGACGTAATAAGTTCTAATAAGATAGTGAGGCGACGCCATCAATAGCGACTGGGTAGTAAGGCGACGCTATAAGTAGAGACTGTGTAGTAAGGCGACATTATAAGTAGTGACTGTGTAGTAGGGCGACGTTAAACGTTGTAACTAGGTTGTTAAGCGACGTAATAAGTAGTTACTGGGTAGCAAAGCGATGTAATAAGTTGTTATTGGATAGAGAGGTGACTAGGTAGTAAGGCGACGCTATACGTAGAGACCGTGTTGTAAGGCGACGTTAAACGTATTAACTGGGTAGTTAAGCGACGTTATAAGTAGTTACTTGGTAGTAAGGCGATGTAATGAGTTGTTATTGGATAGAGATGTGACCGGGTGGTAAGGCGACACTATCAGAAGTGAAAAGGTAGTTAGGAGACGTAATAATTAGTAACTGGGTAGTTGACGACGTTATAAGAAGTTTCTGGGTAGTAAAGCGATGCCATAAGTAGTGATTTTGTAGTAAGGAGACGTTATACGTATTCACTTTGTAGTAAGCGACGTTATAAGTAGTTACTATGTAATTAGGCGACTTTATAAGAAGTTTCTGGGTACTAAGGCGACGTTTTACGTAGTGACTGGGTACTGGGGCGACGTTATTAGTAGAAATTTGCTAATAAGGCAACGTAATGAGTTGTTATGAGTTAGAGAGGTGACGTTATAAGTAGTGACTTGGTAGTAAGGCGACACTATCAGAAGTCAAAAGGTAGTTAGGAGACGTAATACATAGTTCCTGGGTCGTTGACGACGTTATAAGAAGTTTCTGGATAGTTAGGCAACGCTATAAGCAGTGACTGTGAAGTTTGGCGACGTTATAAGAAGTTACCTGGTAGTAAAATGACGTTATAAGTTGTTTCTTTGTTATTAGGTGACGATATAAATAATGACTGGGTAGTAAGGCGATGCTATAAGAAGTGACTGGGTCATTAGGTGACGTTATAAGAGGTTATATGGCAGTTAATTGTAGTGACTAGGTAGTAAGGCGAAGTTATAAAAGGTTGTTGGGCAGTAAAGTGACGCTATAAGAAGTGACTGTGTAGTTAGGCAACGTTATAAGAGATTATAGGGCAGTTAATTGTAGTGACTGGGTAGTAAGGCGAAGTTATAAAAGGTTGTTGAGCAGTAAGGCGACGCTTTAAGAAGTGACTGGGTAGTTAGGCGACGTTATAAGAGTTCTTAATTGAATCCAATTTTGATTCCGATTAAGTCCTTTTGTGCTGGCGCTATAGTTTGATCCTTCTCTTATTAAAGGCATTGATTTCGTATGACTGTATTTTTTAATTAATTTTTTGTTACACCTGCTGTGTATACTGATGTTCTGTCGCTGTTACGCAGTGACTTGTTAATTTTGAAGGAGTCTTTACAAATGCCTTACCCTACTCGTTCATTAGCTGAAGTCTTGGAACCATCACTATAAAATTAAATAAAATTTGCATTTTTGTCATCAATTATTGAAGAGTTATTTGTTTGCTGCAATTGTGTCATTTTGTTTATCTATGATTTTGAGTAAGTCGTGTATTACGTTCGCGTCTGTTTTAATCCATGGAACCTGGAATTCAGTTTTACGGTATATTTTAACATTACCCACACCGTATTTCTGTTTTTAGGTTATGTATTTCTGAAGGGTACGGTGCTTTCGTCCTAGTGAGAGGTGCTGAACTAGTTGTAAATGCCTGATTAAAAGGATTTTTTCTCCGTGGTGCTATGTTCTAGCCCAATAAGTTAGCGTATGATTTCCCCGCCGAATAGTTAATAGAGGTTCACCTGCCTCTGCTAGTAGTCTATCTATATTAGTATTCTTAATGGCTCGGCGGGCTACTCTTAGTGCTGTGTGCTGTTTTTTGTCTAGATGTTTTCATATAGAGTCACAGGCGGTGCTTTATATACCTGGGATACCATAGTCTATTCTATGTGTAACTAGAGCTGTGTATAACATTAGTTATGCTGTTTATTGGCGCCAAATTTGCAACCTGAAATGTATCGAATTGTGTTTATCGCTTTCTGACATGACTCTTTAACATAGCTGATGTAAATTTTTCAATCCTGTTTTGTGGTCTATTATCATGCCTAAATATTTTACTTGCTTTCAAACTTTCCTATTGTTTGGCCTTAATATAAATGTTGAATACATCGCTACGGTCTTTTGTTTAAATGGTTTAAATCCCCGTTTATTTGCCTACTCGTCAATTGCTGTTAAGGTTTTTTGGATATGTTTAGTTAGGTACCTAATACTCTTCCCGGTACTCCAAATGCATCAGTCGCCAGCGAATTGAGCTAAGTTTTTTGAGCATCAGGCGTATCAGTTAACGAGTTTAAAAATATATTCAATAATGTTGGTGAATAACGCTTCCTTGTTTTACATCGTTCTCGAGTTCGTATCGATCTGACAGCGTGCCATGTATTATTAATTGAATTTTACGGTTTTTAAACAATTTGAAGTAAACTTGAATATGTTGCCCGGTAGGCCGTGTTTTTAAAGAGAAACTAGTAGTCCGTCATGCCAAATGAGATCGTATAGACTTAACCGAGATTTAACACTTTTTTAATCTCAGAAGTAAGTCTAAGTAGTTGGTCTGGGGTTGATCATATTTTCCTGAATCCACTTTGTTCTTTGTTTGTAATACCTGATCTGATTTAGTGTGTATATGTGTTTGTGTGTGTGTGTGTGTGTGTGTGTGTGTGTTGAGGGGAGGGGGTCACTGTTTTCGCCCTCGATCGTGTGTTTGGTCGCTTTGGTGTTGGTTGCTAAGTTTCTTTTTTAACTTTTGTTTTTTGTGTGTATCTTTTATGTCTGCTGTTGTGATGGGAGTTGGTGGTCGTGATGGCCCTTCTTTCCGTGTACTATCTAGTATTCATTTATTTGGTGTGACGTAGGGGTGATATTGACTGATTCGTGACCGTTTTTGGTGTTAATTAGTGCACGGACATTTTCTAGTGCTTCCCTATAATCTATATTTCAGTCACGTGCTGTCCATACAATGGTACCTAATAGCGTGGCCGTGACGTAGACACCTGGTTGTGTTGTGTTATTGTAGATTATTAACTGTTGGTTGGGTGTTGATGTATTGTTAACGGCGTCTGAGTAGAGACTGTCCATAGATGTGGGGGCGATACATTTTTATTTGATGTATTGTTAACGGCGTCTGAGTAGAGACTGTCCATGGATCTGGGGGCGATACATTTTTATTGGATGTATTGTTAACGGCGTCTGAGTAGACACTGTCCATGGATCTGGGGGCGATACATTTTTTGTTTGGTGTATTGTTAACAGTGTCTGAGTAGAGACTGTCCATGGATGTGGGGGCGATACATTTGTTGTTTGATGTATTGTTAACGGCGTCTGAGTAGGCACTGTCCATGGATCTGGGGGCGATACATTTTTATTGGATGTATTGGTAACGGCGTCTGAGTAGACACTGTCCATGGCTCTGGGGGCGATACATTTTTTGTTTGGTGTATTGTTAACGGGGTCTGAGTAGAGACTGTCCATGGATGCGGGGGCGATACATTTGTTGTTTGAAGTATTAGTTAACGGCGTCTGAGTAGTGGATCTGGGGGCGATACATTTTTATTGGATGTATTGTTAACGGCGGCTGAGTAGACACTGTCCATGGATGGGGGGGCGATACATTTTTATTTGATGTATTGTTAACGCCGTCTGAGTAGAGACTGTCCATGGATGTGGGGGCGATACATTTTTATTTGATGTATTGTTAACGGCGTCTGAGTAGACACTGTCCATGGATCTGGGGGCGATACATTTTATGTTTGATGTATTGTTAACAGCGTCTGAGTAGAGACTGTCCATGTATGTGGGGGCGATACATTTGTTGTTTGATGTATTGTTAACAGCGTCTGAGTAAAGACTGTCCATGGATGTGGGGGTGATACATTTATTGTTTGATGTATTGTTAACGGCGTCTGAGTAGAGACTGTCCATGGAAGTGGGGGCGATACATTTTTTGTTTGATGTATTGTTAACAGCGTCTGAGTAGAGACTTCCATGGATGTGGGGGCGATACATTTGTTGATTGATGTATTGTTAACAGCGTCTGAGTAAAGACTGTCCATGGATGTGGGGGCTATACATTTTTTGTTTGATGGATTGTTACCGGCGTCTGAGTAGAGACTGTCCATGGAAGGGGGGGCGATACATTTTTTGTTTGATGTATTGTTAACGGCGTCTAAATGTATTGTTAACGGCGTCTGAGAAGAGACTGTCCATAGATGTGGGGGCGATACATTTGTTGCTTGATGTATTGTTAACGGCGTCTTAGTAGAGACTGTCCATGGATGTGGTGGGGATACATTTGTTGTTTGATGTATTTGTTAACGTCGTCTGAGTAGAGACTGTCCATGGAAGTGGGGGCGATACATTTTCTGTTTGATGTATTGTTAACAGCGTCTGAGTAAAGACTGTCCATGGATGTGGGGGTGATACA